CCCCGCCTGCGGCACTGCACGTGTGGCCCCGCTTTGAATGTGTATGTGGCACTGGGCCCTCAGGCGGCCGGGCCACTGGCCCACTCCTATAATCCCAGCCACTCCGGAGGCTGAGGCGGGAGGATCTCAAGTTCAGACTGGCATGAACGACATGGAGAGACCATGTCTCAAAAAGTTCAAAGGTCTGGGGGTGTCGCCTAGGGGTAGAACGCTTGTAGAGCATGGTCAGGCCCTGGTTCCACCCTCAATACTGCACAAAAATAAAATGAAAAAGTGAAATAAACCAGGCAGTGCCAGGCTGAAAGTCAGGCCTTATGAGGCGTGAGGTGCCCCAACAGAGAAGCCGTGGACCAGCCGCTGAGACATCTTGGGGGGCCAAGATGGGGTGACTTTGGGTCTGTCCCCTTCCAGCCACTGCCCTAGCCCTGCTGTCCCCTGGTCAGCCCCGGAGCCTCACACAGTGCCTGTTTTCATGTGTGTGTGTGCATGTATGCACATACGGTGTGGGGATGGAGTTCAGGGCCCTCACACTGAACTGCACCACAGCCCTTTTCCAGTTTTTGTGTTGACACAGGGTCTCACTAAGATGCTAAATTGCCTGGGCTGGGGTAGAACCTGTGATCCTCCTGCCTCAGCCTCCTGAGTGCTGGGATTACAGGCCTGCACCACCACATCCAACTTGCCCCCCCCTTTTCAATGGTATAATAAGCCAGGCATGGTGGCACATGCCAGTAATCCCAGCACTCAGGAGGCTGAGGCAGGAGGATCGCTGAGATTTTGAGGCCAGCCTGGGCTACACAGTGAGCTCAAGATCAGCCTGAAGTACAGAGTGAGACCATCTCTCAAAAAACAAACTAAACTAAGTCTTATAATGAAAAAAATTTTTTTTGTCATCCTGGGAATTGAACCCAGGGCTTTTACCCTGAGCTACATCCCCAGCCCTTTCTTATTCTGAGGCAAGGTCTTACCAAGTCTCTACGTTGTCCAGGCTGGGTTTGAACTTTGATCTTCTTGCTTCAGTTTTCCAAGGAGTGGGCCGGCTTTTTCTTGACTTTAAAAAAAAAGAATTTTTTTTCAGTACCGAGGGTGAAACCCAGGGCATTCACACCGAGAGATGTCCCCAGCCCTTTCTTATTTTCAGACAGGGCCTCAATATGTTTCGGAATTGCCTAGGCTTAGCTGAGCGTGGTGGTACATGCCTGGGATCCCAGCACTCAGGAGGCTGAGGCAGGAGGATTACTGCAAGTTCCAGGTCTGCCTGTGCTACACAGTGAGTTCAAGGCCAGCCTGAACTGTATAACAAGACCCCATCTTTAAATAAAATAAAGTAAATTTCCCAGCTGGGCTTGAACTTTCAGTCCTCCTGCCTCAGCCTACTAGTGCTGGGATCACAGGCCTGTGCCACTGTGCTGGGCAATTCCTCCTTACTCACTGTGGCCCGGCCCGGCCAAAACTACACCTACAAAACTTGCTGGGAGCTCCCACCTCGCACCGTTGGGCTGAGGGCTGCCCCGTGCCCGGCACCCTGCTGGGGACTTGGAGACCAGGCGTGGCTGTGGCCACAGGGAGGCCAGTGTGCAAGAAGGGAGGGAGAAGGAAGGGGTGGGACGGAGCCTGAGCCAGGAATGTCTTGGCCAAGGGAGGGCGTGGGTCTAGGAAAGGACAGCACTGGGGAGCCACGAAGAGCAGGGGAGGATACAGGTGACTGGGTGCCTCTCGGCCTTGGCATAGCCCTGAGGACCTTCGGCCCCGCACCCCGTGACTAGCTCCCTGTGTCCCCACAGGTCAGCTGGGGATCCCCGCCGCTGCGCCA